GCCTGGGCGGTTTGTTTTTGTTTACCTCTTCTCACGATTTCAACGTAGTTAGAGTTTGCCCTTCCTCACACGATTTCAACGTGTTTGGAATTTAGCCATGACCTTGTTACTTGAAATAAACTTCGACAAGATGCATTCATGAATTTGAAAAAAGATTGCTGTTGATACCATCTCAAAGAAAAACTTTTTCCTCTTCTTCCAAGTGCAGCCCTACCAATTCTTAAACTTCTAGAGATTTTTGAAAACTTTATGGGAGTAAATAACAGCCATCCAATGATCCAACACCTCCAAATAAGTAGGTATGAAAAGGAAAACCTGAGATCCTAAACCTTTGTGCCCCATTGTTCATGTGTCAAAAGCTTATAAGTACCCCAAATTTATTACTAATGTCTTCATTTAAAATAAAACGAGGCTAAAACATTCCTGGTAAGTTGTAACCTTCTCTACATCACTCTCGCACTCATTCTCCACTTGTATCTTCTTTAACTAATATAGGCCATGACTTTCTAAAGCAAGTCATGCCAGCATCCAAGTAAGATTCCCTGTATATTTTTATGTAAGTGATTATCTTTAACCATGTAATAATAGCCAAGCAATTCTATATTTGCCAAGTAAAATAGACAAATGGTCAATTTTAAAGAGCCCTTCTTCAACCAAGGACAAGAGAGAAGTCATAGAACCTACCAAGATACCATCCCTCCTACTACCATGATTAAAATGGGAAAAAATTACAAAAAGAAATATCCGTGTCTCCATGAAAGTCTAAGAAAATTGGAAGCAAAGAACAGTACCTCAAACCTAGCGTCAAAGAAATTTAATAATATTGAAAAATAAAAGAACCAAATATATGAGTTGCCACATAGAGGCTAAATAACAGAACAGGCACAACGCACGAGCACACACCTGCTTCTTCCCTCTTAGGTTTAGTGGAGTAGGTTTAACATTTTAACACAATTTATGCACTCTATATATGTTTTGAAATATTTATAAGATTAATACATCATATACATTACAATGTTCTATAATTGTTTTGCATTATTTAAAAAATCTATTTGTTAGGTAAAATAGCATATTGATGTTTACTTTATGAAATATATAGCTTTGTAATGGAATTAGTGTTAGATTACATATTTTTCATTATCTTTGAATAGATTATTCATATATATGACACAATACATTTGTGAAGTTACAAAATTTTATCGTGTTCCAATCATGTTGTTTCCATGTTCGTATCATGCCGTGTGTCCATATCTGTGCCACTAAGACAGAAAGGAGTGATACCTATAAAATTCTGGATGTGATCCCTAATTGCTAAATTCCTCTCCTTCCACTACTTTTTAATTCTCTACAATCAGATTTTTTTGATTTAATCATTACCATACCTTAATTTCTTTATTTTTCACCTGGAAGTCTATCTCCTCCTTATTTAACCTTTTACCTAACAACACAGGTCCAGAACACAAAAAGACATGCTATATAGAAACTTCCAGCATAAATTCCAGCACCCCCAGTTTAAGACCAAGCCAATCAAGCACCAATCGATTAATGAATCCCACAACTTTCTTGCACCCCTTAAAACTCTGAAGGTAGAAGCTATAAATGAACTTACCTCACCACAAAATCAACTGCATTACCTGAAACTTTGTCCATCTTTCTGTACCGGATGATAACTCTTATCCCCCATCCACTTCTAGATATTCCACATTTGTCAGCAGCAACCAAGCAACAAACAGAAAAATGGAAACTGGATCCAGAACTAAAGAAAATGGCAGGGAAAAGCCCATTGGAAGGGCAAGCTTTAAAATATGCAATGATCATGTAATTACTTCAATTAGACAACATAAAGTGACTGACATCTCAGGGAATAACCTATAAGGACCTCTGTGAAACTTTTTGGTAGTAGAAATCCTGACAGTATTATCAACAACCTTAGGTGGCTGAGAGAAATTATTATCATACCTAAGCTCTAATGACTCATTGCAAGCAGGGCTTCACCTGCGATAGGATAATAATTTATGCTCTGTCTAATATGTCCAACATAGTAACTTAAAGCCCAAATCTCCATGTAACTAGAGCCTCAATTATGCGAGCCCCAACACATGTCAGCTAATATTTCAACATGATAAAGTAAATAAAGTAGCCATGACCTTGTTACTTGAAATAAACTTCGACAAGATGCATTCATGAATTTGAAAAAAGATTGCTGTTGATACCATCTCAAAGAAAAACTTTTTCCTCTTCTTCCAAGTGCAGCCCTACCAATTCTTAAACTTCTAGAGATTTTTGAAAACTTTATGGGAGTAAATAACAGCCATCCAATGATCCAACACCTCCAAATAAGTAGGTATGAAAAGGAAAACCTGAGATCCTAAACCTTTGTGCCCCATTGTTCATGTGTCAAAAGCTTATAAGTACCCCAAATTTATTACTAATGTCTTCATTTAAAATAAAACGAGGCTAAAACATTCCTGGTAAGTTGTAACCTTCTCTACATCACTCTCGCACTCATTCTCCACTTGTATCTTCTTTAACTAATATAGGCCATGACTTTCTAAAGCAAGTCATGCCAGCATCCAAGTAAGATTCCCTGTATATTTTTATGTAAGTGATTATCTTTAACCATGTAATAATAGCCAAGCAATTCTATATTTGCCAAGTAAAATAGACAAATGGTCAATTTTAAAGAGCCCTTCTTCAACCAAGGACAAGAGAGAAGTCATAGAACCTACCAAGATACCATCCCTCCTACTACCATGATTAAAATGGGAAAAAATTACAAAAAGAAATATCCGTGTCTCCATGAAAGTCTAAGAAAATTGGAAGCAAAGAACAGTACCTCAAACCTAGCGTCAAAGAAATTTAATAATATTGAAAAATAAAAGAACCAAATATATGAGTTGCCACATAGAGGCTAAATAACAGAACAGGCACAACGCACGAGCACACACCTGCTTCTTCCCTCTTAGGTTTAGTGGAGTAGGTTTAACATTTTAACACAATTTATGCACTCTATATATGTTTTGAAATATTTATAAGATTAATACATCATATACATTACAATGTTCTATAATTGTTTTGCATTATTTAAAAAATCTATTTGTTAGGTAAAATAGCATATTGATGTTTACTTTATGAAATATATAGCTTTGTAATGGAATTAGTGTTAGATTACATATTTTTCATTATCTTTGAATAGATTATTCATATATATGACACAATACATTTGTGAAGTTACAAAATTTTATCGTGTTCCAATCATGTTGTTTCCATGTTCGTATCATGCCGTGTGTCCATATCTGTGCCACTAAGACAGAAAGGAGTGATACCTATAAAATTCTGGATGTGATCCCTAATTGCTAAATTCCTCTCCTTCCACTACTTTTTAATTCTCTACAATCAGATTTTTTGATTTAATCATTACCATACCTTAATTTCTTTATTTTTCACCTGGAAGTCTATCTCCTCCTTATTTAACCTTTTACCTAACAACACAGGTCCAGAACACAAAAAGACATGCTATATAGAAACTTCCAGCATAAATTCCAGCACCCCCAGTTTAAGACCAAGCCAATCAAGCACCAATCGATTAATGAATCCCACAACTTTCTTGCACCCCTTAAAACTCTGAAGGTAGAAGCTATAAATGAACTTACCTCACCACAAAATCAACTGCATTACCTGAAACTTTGTCCATCTTTCTGTACCGGATGATAACTCTTATCCCCCATCCACTTCTAGATATTCCACATTTGTCAGCAGCAACCAAGCAACAAACAGAAAAATGGAAACTGGATCCAGAACTAAAGAAAATGGCAGGGAAAAGCCCATTGGAAGGGCAAGCTTTAAAATATGCAATGATCATGTAATTACTTCAATTAGACAACATAAAGTGACTGACATCTCAGGGAATAACCTATAAGGACCTCTGTGAAACTTTTTGGTAGTAGAAATCCTGACAGTATTATCAACAACCTTAGGTGGCTGAGAGAAATTATTATCATACCTAAGCTCTAATGACTCATTGCAAGCAGGGCTTCACCTGCGATAGGATAATAATTTATGCTCTGTCTAATATGTCCAACATAGTAACTTAAAGCCCAAATCTCCATGTAACTAGAGCCTCAATTATGCGAGCCCCAACACATGTCAGCTAATATTTCAACATGATAAAGTAAATAAAGTAGCCATGACCTTGTTACTTGAAATAAACTTCGACAAGATGCATTCATGAATTTGAAAAAAGATTGCTGTTGATACCATCTCAAAGAAAAACTTTTTCCTCTTCTTCCAAGTGCAGCCCTACCAATTCTTAAACTTCTAGAGATTTTTGAAAACTTTATGGGAGTAAATAACAGCCATCCAATGATCCAACACCTCCAAATAAGTAGGTATGAAAAGGAAAACCTGAGATCCTAAACCTTTGTGCCCCATTGTTCATGTGTCAAAAGCTTATAAGTACCCCAAATTTATTACTAATGTCTTCATTTAAAATAAAACGAGGCTAAAACATTCCTGGTAAGTTGTAACCTTCTCTACATCACTCTCGCACTCATTCTCCACTTGTATCTTCTTTAACTAATATAGGCCATGACTTTCTAAAGCAAGTCATGCCAGCATCCAAGTAAGATTCCCTGTATATTTTTATGTAAGTGATTATCTTTAACCATGTAATAATAGCCAAGCAATTCTATATTTGCCAAGTAAAATAGACAAATGGTCAATTTTAAAGAGCCCTTCTTCAACCAAGGACAAGAGAGAAGTCATAGAACCTACCAAGATACCATCCCTCCTACTACCATGATTAAAATGGGAAAAAATTACAAAAAGAAATATCCGTGTCTCCATGAAAGTCTAAGAAAATTGGAAGCAAAGAACAGTACCTCAAACCTAGCGTCAAAGAAATTTAATAATATTGAAAAATAAAAGAACCAAATATATGAGTTGCCACATAGAGGCTAAATAACAGAACAGGCACAACGCACGAGCACTGGTAGTGGTGTAGTGGGTTAGGTTTAGTGGAGTAGGTTTAACATTTTAACACAATTTATGCACTCTATATATGTTTTGAAATATTTATAAGATTAATACATCATATACATTACAATGTTCTATAATTGTTTTGCATTATTTAAAAAATCTATTTGTTAGGTAAAATAGCATATTGATGTTTACTTTATGAAATATATAGCTTTGTAATGGAATTAGTGTTAGATTACATATTTTTCATTATCTTTGAATAGATTATTCATATATATGACACAATACATTTGTGAAGTTACAAAATTTTATCGTGTTCCAATCATGTTGTTTCCATGTTCGTATCATGCCGTGTGTCCATATCTGTGCCACTAAGACAGAAAGGAGTGATACCTATAAAATTCTGGATGTGATCCCTAATTGCTAAATTCCTCTCCTTCCACTACTTTTTAATTCTCTACAATCAGATTTTTTGATTTAATCATTACCATACCTTAATTTCTTTATTTTTCACCTGGAAGTCTATCTCCTCCTTATTTAACCTTTTACCTAACAACACAGGTCCAGAACACAAAAAGACATGCTATATAGAAACTTCCAGCATAAATTCCAGCACCCCCAGTTTAAGACCAAGCCAATCAAGCACCAATCGATTAATGAATCCCACAACTTTCTTGCACCCCTTAAAACTCTGAAGGTAGAAGCTATAAATGAACTTACCTCACCACAAAATCAACTGCATTACCTGAAACTTTGTCCATCTTTCTGTACCGGATGATAACTCTTATCCCCCATCCACTTCTAGATATTCCACATTTGTCAGCAGCAACCAAGCAACAAACAGAAAAATGGAAACTGGATCCAGAACTAAAGAAAATGGCAGGGAAAAGCCCATTGGAAGGGCAAGCTTTAAAATATGCAATGATCATGTAATTACTTCAATTAGACAACATAAAGTGACTGACATCTCAGGGAATAACCTATAAGGACCTCTGTGAAACTTTTTGGTAGTAGAAATCCTGACAGTATAATCAACAACCTTAGGTGGCTGAGAGAAATTATTATCATACCTAAGCTCTAATGACTCATTGCAAGCAGGGCTTCACCTGCGATAGGATAATAATTTATGCTCTGTCTAATATGTCCAACATAGTAACTTAAAGCCCAAATCTCCATGTAACTAGAGCCTCAATTATGCGAGCCCCAACACATGTCAGCTAATATTTCAACATGATAAAGTAAATAAAGTAGCCATGACCTTGTTACTTGAAATAAACTTCGACAAGATGCATTCATGAATTTGAAAAAAGATTGCTGTTGATACCATCTCAAAGAAAAACTTTTTCCTCTTCTTCCAAGTGCAGCCCTACCAATTCTTAAACTTCTAGAGATTTTTGAAAACTTTATGGGAGTAAATAACAGCCATCCAATGATCCAACACCTCCAAATAAGTAGGTATGAAAAGGAAAACCTGAGATCCTAAACCTTTGTGCCCCATTGTTCATGTGTCAAAAGCTTATAAGTACCCCAAATTTATTACTAATGTCTTCATTTAAAATAAAACGAGGCTAAAACATTCCTGGTAAGTTGTAACCTTCTCTACATCACTCTCGCACTCATTCTCCACTTGTATCTTCTTTAACTAATATAGGCCATGACTTTCTAAAGCAAGTCATGCCAGCATCCAAGTAAGATTCCCTGTATATTTTTATGTAAGTGATTATCTTTAACCATGTAATAATAGCCAAGCAATTCTATATTTGCCAAGTAAAATAGACAAATGGTCAATTTTAAAGAGCCCTTCTTCAACCAAGGACAAGAGAGAAGTCATAGAACCTACCAAGATACCATCCCTCCTACTACCATGATTAAAATGGGAAAAAATTACAAAAAGAAATATCCGTGTCTCCATGAAAGTCTAAGAAAATTGGAAGCAAAGAACAGTACCTCAAACCTAGCGTCAAAGAAATTTAATAATATTGAAAAATAAAAGAACCAAATATATGAGTTGCCACATAGAGGCTAAATAACAGAACAGGCACAACGCACGAGCACACACCTGCTTCTTCCCTCTCACACCAAGATGTGGAGTTGCCAAGGTAATAAAATTGACTGGCTCCAACCCAGCGATCGTACCTCGTTTTGAAGAGCATGGTGTTTTTGAGTTTGCATTGGTAGAAGCAGGTACATCATTAGGCTGATCACTGCTGAAGGCATCTGGTGAATAAAGGACAGCAATTGCATATCTGGCAAACAATCCACCAAGAGAATGGGCTAAAAATGATATCCTCTTCAAGCTCTCTGTCCTTTTTACTATTTGTATGACCTGTTTAACCAAAAGCCAGCAGAAAACATAAGTAATTTGTTACCACAGCCACAGATTACACAATTGAAGCTAGGAATGGCCACTAACTGTGTTGATAATCAATACTCCAAAGAAATCGGTTTCAACTTGTATCCACTACCCAGCATGTTAACTGGAAACAGTTCCAATTAAGAAACATGGACATGCCAGCACAACAATTTTCAAAAAACAAAGGACATGATATGTGGGGACATGTGCAAAATTATATATGAATATTTCATTCAATGTTAATAAAAATATACAACATGAATCATAAAGTTTAAAAGAGGATTGATTAATAGGTATAAATCTAAATTGTTTTACTTTTATCATTAGATCCTAAGTTATTTATCCCAAGTTAAAACAATTAATAAGACATGTTTGGATGCGTGTCTGACATGGACATGCCACCTTCTTAGAAGTGTCCATGGCTTCCAAATTGTAAAGCATCAGCCCAAATTCAAACCCAAATTTTTATGCCTCACAACCTGAGCTTTTACCGTTACAACAGGTAGTGGCCCTTAAGATACATAATTGAAATTGAACACATGCACAAAAATAATATTCTTACTTCATCTGCTAATCTTTTTCCAGCTCCATCAATCCCAGCAAATGTTTTTGAATAAGTGTTACAGGAACTTGCTGCATAGAAACAGTTAAACCTTAAGATTGTAATCAATTAGCATAACATGAAATTATGTCAGAAAAACACTAGATTCCAAAACATGTCTACAACCAATTGACAGACCATCCAAATCAGTGAACTAGAACTGGAGAAGTTAGAAACCTCAATAAGGAGAAGAGGGAAAAGAAGTAGCACTGTGGATGAGAACACTATCATCATTATTCCATGCGCCTCATTGAACTTTCTATTGTCATAAAAACCAGAGTCTTAGGGTATGTTTGGTTTGTGTTTGAGAGATGTGTTTTAGAGATAAAAAGTACGAAAAATTGTTTGGTTTGGTTTTTTTCAAAAATGTTTTGAAAAATTATTTTGAGAGAGAGTTTTGGAAAAAGTGATTGATTTGATGTGTGTGAGAGAGAGATTTGTTTGGAAAACTTGTTTGGTTTACAAGTTTTGAGAAATTTTTTTGGGAAAATTTGTTTGGTTTGATTACTTTTAAAAACTTATTTGTAGAGAAAATTTCCCAAATTTTTTTCAGAAATACAAACCAAACGAACCCTTAGTTTTCTTTTTTCAACATGTTTGATTGTGGTCTCCCTTTTCCTTTGTATTGTAAGAGGACTCCTTGTCCTCATATTTCCTTTTCATGATTTATAAAATTCTTTTGTTGTTGATAAAAAAAAAATTAAAAATTAAAAATAAAAACAAGCCACGTTGTTTCATAGTCCATCAAGAACCATGTCCTCAAAAAAACAATAAGATTGCAAGTATTTTTCACAAACTCAATTCCTCAATTCTTCATCCCAGCCATCCCCATCAGACACCACCCTTGATTATGCATTAACCACCAAAAACCATGTCTTTCATTAAAGAATGAGTGTGCAATTTTTTTTTTTCTTCACACCAACTTATTTCTCCTTCCCCGCCTCCTATTCCTAATAATGACCTCGCACATACTGGGTAATTCTCCCAAGTGATGCCATCAGTGCTCGTCTTTGAAATAGCCAACCAATCTAAATCAACTATCCCTATTGATCACTAATTTGAGAATTTAGTGAACGATATGAAAATGAAAATATGGATCTCTGTGCGTATGACCATACCGTAAATTAAAAAGTTCCTTCCAAGACGCCTCTTCAACTCTGTCTCTACATATATCCAATCACTTGGACTGCATTACTTAGATAAGTTAACTCAAAATTAGTTTGGATATATAAGCCGAAACAAGCATAAACATAGAAACATAAAGTACGATTATTTAACATCATTACCCTCAGTGTGAGAATCAAACACTAGATTTGAAAGCAAAGAAAATCAAATTGGAGCATAAAGCTAAAACAGAACGAACCATGTCTTCGATAATGCAACCAAACACATACATAGAAACTATTACATAAAGGGAACACAAACATTTTTTTAAAAAAATATTGACTAACAATCTTTTTATCAAGTATGCGTAAGGATGGAACTTCAAGGTTCGTTTAGTTTTGTATAATACGTGTATACAAGGTCAAGCGACTTATACCGCTTTTTGGTTCTTCTATAATGTACAAGAATGGTACGAAATATGTGTCCGACATGTGTAATTGGACATTCACTTAGCAAGCATATTTAGTAATTCTAGTTAACCATAAAACTATGTATAAAATCCCCATATTATGCATGAACTGCTCTATGACTCCTTATATGTAAACCATAATACCCTAGAAGATGTACATTAAGAAATATTAATATTTTGCCATATCCCTATGTCCTTGGGTATGAAAATTATAGATGGATCGGATACTTAGACACACACCCGTACCCAACACTCGTACCCAAATCCATGTAACATAGCCAGTCAGCCTTTTATTTTGTAACTAAACAAATTTCGTATTAATTGAATAGGAACAGGAAAGGTGGAAGGATTATATTCAACCATGCAAACAACACACAACAGAATGTGCATCATCTAGACCAAGCACATAAAAATTCATGCATAGAAGTACCTGTGTCCTTGGGTATGAAAATTAGATGAATCCGTACCAGTACCCAACACTTGTGCCCAAGGCCTTCTATTTTTTAATTAAATGAATTTCATATTAATTTGAATAGGAACAGGAAAGGTGGAAGGACTACATTTGACCATGCAAACAACATGCAACAGAGTGCACCTTCTAGACCAAGAACATAAACATACATGCATACAAGTAATTAAACAGACCCAACAAAGACTGTTTTGCTAGCCATAGATTGCTCACGGACAGAATTCTCCTAATTTGGCTAGGCACCGGCAAAAGTGCCTGACCATGCTTAAATGATAATAGTCAGGCTATCCAAGTAGAAAGGTTTCCCCAAACAGGAAAGCATAACTGAGACATCCATGAAAAAATCTCCTCAGCCACCACTTCTACCAACATATCTGTCAGAAGATTCAACAACCTGTCGTCTTTCTCTATTTTAACCCTTTCTGCGGAGCCATTATTAAAAGCAAATCATATACTCTGGCTACTATTGTCCAACAAAATACTAGATACATCACATGGCCCACCTTGTAAACCTTGGATCTTGATATGTTAAATCCCAAATTAAGGCAAAATCAGTGCTACAAAAAGACCAATTTTACATCTCATCACATTCTGCAATATTTGTAAGCATATGTAAAAGTGCTAGCTACCATGCATTTAAAGCCACAACAACTCATCTGAAGTATATAGATCCTGTTCTTTTTTTAATATCCAAAAAAGAAACCCAAATCACTTGATTGATGAAGAAGACTTTCATAGAGTCAACAGACAGAATCCTAAAGGTGCAAGTCAAAATAATCTGTAGAAGAAAAATATACCAGAAGGCATCACAAAGCAGATAGACACACTTGAACCCACCACATAAACAGGCACGTAATAACAATTGTAGAAAATTAATACGGCATGTAATGATCATTTGTTTTCTTTGATCTTTTTATCCTTTTCCATTCCATTTGGCAAGCTCTTTGTTATGAATAAATTTATAATATATTTTAATCAATCTGTACATACCTCCCCAAGATGCCATGAACAAGGACAAGAAGATGATCAGGTTCATCTTTCACATTAGTAATACCCCTTGGTGATGCAACATTTCCTTGAGTGGTACTCATAGGTTGAGCTCTAAGGCTTTGATGTTTCCAAATATTGTTTATTCCTGGGCAAGTTTAGTTGACAACCTCAGACCAAAGGGAAGAAAGAGATTTGAAAAACAATCAGTATAGGGAATTATTAAACATCAGCTGCTAGTAATAAGTTAGAAGCAGCCTACAGACATAAGACACAGCTCATTGATTTCAGATATCACTTTGGGACCAAAAAGAGTGGCTCAAATGTTCAGTGTACAAAAGGACTAAAAGGCCAGTTTCAATACTCAGTTTCTCCTCTGGCATTACCAGACCGGGGAACACATCACATACAATACCTATATGACCTACTTGAGTGAGTCTACAATATTCCTTGATTCGTAAGCCGATCTATTTGAAGTTTTCCAGCTGTTGAGGCCAGTTATTTCAGGTACACTGATTAAAGATTGCATCATTTTTTATTTACCATAGTTTGAAGTGGGTAAGGTTTAAAATTTAAAGTTAAATGTGTAAAGCTGCAAATTCATAGCAGTCAACTTGATTAGTGTTTTTTAAGGTCTAATTTGGTAGTTAATCAGGTTATAAATTCACACAGGATCTCTCTTCCAGCAAAGGAGAAAAATCAATTGAAGAATGTGGTTACAAAGCTTTTCGCCTAGAACATGCCATTGTTTCGATTCCTACCTGCGAATATTAAGGAAACTATTAATGTGAATGTCCAAGTTGAAAAAGAACATAGTTGCGTAAGTTAACTAGTTGCTTGCCTCTTGAAAGTAGAGTTTACTGTTAGGTAGTCAACTAATATGTCCTTTGATGGGGAATGTTCTCAATATATAACCGAGCTTTCTGTACAAGCAATTGTAAAATCTAGAAGTTAACTCTATTATCCTTTCTATCTCCCATCTTCATTCTGTATTCTCTTGCTTGTCAAGAATTTTCTTCGTCTTTGCTCTCCCGACTCTTGCTACAATTTCTACAAATATCTCATCAGCTTACTTTTGCAAGAAAGCCGTGAGGTTTAAGACCTCAAAGGTTCTCAACTGTCAATATAACCATCATGCACGTTTTCCTCCAACCACTATACGGATATCATTAGCTGCTATTTGATCCTTTGATTGAAAAAATTGTGAAAGGTCATGCCTATATATACCCATAACCACATATTTCAAAAAATAATAGTAATAAAAAAATCGAAATAAAAATTACAAACTAAACACAACCCTCCAATCTCTATTAACAAAAATACAAAGGAATCCCTTTAAAAGCAAGTGGCATTGATACAGATAGGTCAACTTTATCACACATACCATCCAGATGTTTCTAAACAAAACCAAATTAAGCCTTGTGTCCACAATCAAGTGGAGTCAGTAATTAGTAGAACAGAAACCCATAAAATCAGTGAAAAGCTATAAACACAAGATAAAGGGGCCACCTAACCTAATCCCACCAATTGAAACAATCAACTAGTGTGTTAAATTGCTCTAGGCGCACTGAGGCGATGAGGTCTCCTATAGCCTAAGCGCGAAGCGCGAGGTGTGAGGCGAAGCGCGCGCCTCACCAAAGCGAAGCTCAAGTTGTAGAAGAAAAGCAAAATTACGAAATAGACAAATTTTTCAACATAACAAACATATATAATATTTAAAAAATCATAACCATTTTCGATAATCTCTAAACATAACATTCAATCTTCTAAAAATTAGAAATATAATATCCAACAAAAGATATAAAGCATAACATTCAATCTTTTATCACTTTTTGCTCTCTTTTGACGTGGGTGTTTGGAAAGTTGCTATTTTAGTAGGCTATTTTAGTTTTTGGCTATTTTAGTAGGCTAAAATTTTTGTGTTTGGGAAGATAGTTGAATTTTTTTGTAGTTGGATGTGATGTTTGTGAGAGAGAAAGTGAAATGATTATGGGTTTAATATGACATTTTGTCTTATTGGCTATTTTAGCCTATTTTGTCATATATGGATTTTAGCCCAAAAAGCCAAAAAAAGCCTTTGCCAAACACCCCCTACATTTGATCATTTTATATTGAAGAGTTTTGAATCCATGTGGGTATGTCCACAAAAAAAACACTTAATCAACAATTGGAGTGAAAAAAAGGTAAAGCCCATGCCTTGCGCCTCAAAAAAAAGCCCTCGCCTCAACGCCTAAGCTGCCCCTTGTGTGTTGCGCCTCGCCTCAATCTGTTCGAAGTGCGAGGCTGCACCTCGCGCTTAGGCGCGTGCCTTTTAAAACACTACAATCAACATCATAATGCCATACCCACTAAACAATACAAAAACAATTTATCGATGCTCCCCACTCTTCCTAGACATAACACATTGCTATGGATGTAAAAAGCAACTAGGCCTTCTTTTCTTCATTGATATCAAGTTTCTTACAAATTTTTGTCCAAACAAATACTTTAAAATTAAATGGTACATTTGCATTCCAAATCATCTTATGATGGCTAAAGGATGATACATTAGGATCATCAATAATCATCTCAAAGAATGATACAACTATATTTCTCAAAGATACCTCATCCAAAAGATTAAGCAAAGAAACAAGATCATTGACTTCTAAGCAAGGTTCTGAAAAGCGGTTGCGGTTGCCGTAACGGTGGCGGTGGCCCGGTTGCGGTTGCGGGGTGTAAAGGCCGTAGCGTAACGGTTGCGGTAACCGGAACCGTGAATTTTTTTATTTTTTGCACAATTTGAAAAAAACTTACCGATATGCACATTTTTTTTCCATGATCATATTTATTGGGTTTTAAAATAAATATTGATCAATTTTTATAAATTTGCAAGTTTGATCCAATATATTTCATATTTTTAAATAACTATAAACTGAGTTTTTTACATTTTATTTTAATAATTAATGTCTTTATATTATACAAAAAATCAATCACTAACTATTATATATAAGATAAACAATGACAAAAGTAAGAGAATAAATAAAAACGTAAATATATATATATATATTAATCAAGCCAAATAGATAATGACCACACTTATATTATTATTATTATTATTATTATTATTATTATTATTATTTTCAAACAATATATAGATAGACACACACAAACAAAATGGTTGAGTGATAACAGCTGAATAGAATAGCATAGGTCTTACAACTTCAACAAATCAATAACATGTTTTTTATCTTCCCTATTCTCTCTCTCTATCTCTCTTCTCCCATTTTTCAACATTTTTTTTTTTTATGTTTTTCGAATAAGCCAATTCGGAACTAATTACGTAACGGTGGCGTAACAGGTGTTACGGCCCATTACCGGCACCGTTACAACCCTATAGCAGCCGCTAAGCCTGACACACGCTGTGAACAAGGTCTGAAAAGCGGTTTTGCGGTTGCGCGTAACGGCGGCGTTTTGGCGCGGTGCGGGGTGTAAGCAATAGCGTAACGGTTGCGGTAACCAGAACCGTGAATTTTTTTATTTTTTGCACAATTTGAAAAAAACTTACCGATATGCACATTTTTTTTCCATGATCATATTTATTGGGTTTTAAAATAAATATTGATCAATTTTTATAAATTTGTAAGTTTGATCCAATATATTTCATATTTTTAAATCACTATAAACTGAGTTTTTTACATTTTATTTTAATGATTAATGTCTTTATATTATACAAAAAATCAATCACTAACTATTATATATAAGATAAACAATGACAAAAGTAAGAGAATAAATAAAAACCTAAATATATATATATATTAATCAAGCCAAATAGATAATGACCACACTTATATTATTATTATTATTATTATTATTATTATTATTATTATTATTATTATTTTCAAACAATATATAGATAGACACACACAAACAAAATGGTTGAGTGATAGTAGCTAAATAGAATAGCATAGGTCTTACAGCTTCAACAAATTAATAACATATTTTTTATCTTCCGTCTTCTCTCTCTATCTCTCTTCCCCCATTTTCAACTTTTTTTTTTTTTTTGTGTTTTTTCGAAATAAGCAATTCGAAACTATTACGTAACGGTGCGTAACAGGCTGTTACGGCCATTACGGCACCGTTACAACCGCTATAGCAGCCGCTACGCCTGACACACCTGTGAATCTCAATCACACTGCAAAAGCAGTCGTAACGGGTGGCGATAACTACCACAACTGTTACGTAACGGCGTTACGTAACGGTTGCGGTCACTTTTTAAAACCTTGCTTCTAAGTCATTCACATTTCTTTAAAAACAAAATGAAATTCTAGAAAATCAAAAAATAATAAGTTGAATCCATAGATGCAATAGAACCATTATGAGAACAATAGAAACAATCAAACAAGGGAACATGCGATCAAAGAAATCCTCACCTCCCCAAACATCAATGGGGATCAACAGTCAATTACAACTATGCATGATTAGCTTTGTCAATATCTGCGTCCCACTATAGTATGAGTAAGGCAACGTCTCAATCCGTAGCTCGTTTGTAGCATAATGTCATCCCTCAATGGATTTAGTCAATGCATAGCTTGATACTTTCGTTCGATAGCCCACATATGCGGTGTTGCCTTCCAACCACTTAACTTAAACCACGGGATCTCCTCGTGCAAGGTTGAACCCAAACCAAGCACTTGAGTTGGCACACAAGGCCTTTGGTGGTGCCTCGATAGCCTATTCGGTCTAAAACGAGTCCCCAATATGCCATAACGTGTGGCATAAGGGAGACAACGTGTCAAACCTCTCCCTCAGGAGGCACGTGCAGTGCTTACATTATTGCACCGTCCACGGGGCTCCCAAACCCACGTGGAGACTCTAGACACCCCTCTGAATGCCTAAAGCCCGCCCTTGAGTTGCCCCAAGGTTGCTCACTTGAAGCCCAGTTTAGGCAAAGAGGCAGGTAGGTAGCACACCTTGCCCCCTTATAGATGCTTGTTAAGCAATTAACCCTCTGGTAGGAGGAAACATGCCTTTGTCCGAGGAGTCATAATGGTTTTTCAAAAATACAAGTTGAGAAAAATCACAAAACTTGGTCGGGAAAACACTTCCCCCAAGACCTCTTTCCAATAAAAATTTCAAACCGAAACTCCTCCATTTGAATGCCCCAACAACGCGCCAAAACTGTGCACTGCTGCTCCGCTGGGCAGGCTGCGGCCTGGGCTGTGGTTGGCAATGCTGGCAGGCAGCCTGGGCTGCGGCCTGAGCCGCTGTCTGTCCGTGGCCTTGCTGCTGCTGGCTTCTTTGCTGGGCTGTTGCTTGCTGGCTGCTACTGTTGCTGCTGGGCTGTCTGCTGCTGCTGGCATGGGCTGCAGCCTTGTTGCTGGGCTGCTGCTGCTGGCAGCTAGTGCTGGCTGCTAGCATGGGCTGCGGCCTTGCCACTTGCTAGCTGCTGGTGGCCTACATGCCGGGGCCAATGTTAGGCCACATTGAGGCCCTTCAAAAGGCTACTCTTGAGCACTTGAATGGTCACACCAACATGAGCAAAACGTCACGGAGAGGCAACCCGTGACACACAGCCAGGGATTGAATACCCCGCACTTTTTTTTCCTTTTATATATATAGGTTAGACTACTCTTCATAATTTGAATACCCAAATTCACAAATTTTGAATTCTCATTTCATAATCTTGAATAGTCAGCCCATTCAATCCAAACTATGCATATTCACTCACCCTGCAATCCACTCACAATATATTTTGATTCTGAATGTAATAACCTCACCAGAAACTATACGTACCTAGAAACGTCAGTAACAATAAAGTGTAGGGTATATATTTAAAATTGATGTGTAGTAGACTACAATCAAAATGCATCATGTCCATATATTTTTTGAGTACTAAAAAAAATATCCACATAAAGATAATTCTTGAAATATCTTGTTAATATTACTCATGCTTATTTAGGATAAAAAAAATTGGAGGGAAAAAATAAAAAATTGGTTTGAAGCCCTATCAAGACTTACAAGTACTAGAATTCTTCTTTTTGCATAAATTTTAATCAAGTTGTTGAATGACTATCTTGCACAATATTTCTAGAGCAGCCACTGCATTCAAATCTGAGCTATTTAAACTGTCGATTTGAGTGATTTGGAGAGAAAAGACAAAAAAGTGGACAGAAAGGAATTTCAATCCCTTGTTTGAATTACCAAATATGAGAGAAACACAAATACATTCTCTCATAACCCCTATTTTCAATCTCTCCAAAAATAGAGAGCAATGGAGAGAAATGGAACAACAAAATATTATTTTGTTATAATAGCAAAATTACCCTTTAGATATAGAACAAAAAAATGACTGCCACCGATACGCAGATTAATTTAGTAATATAACATTACATTATTTCTTTTCTTTATATAGCTTAACCAAACACAATAGAAAAGAAATCAATATCATTTCTTTTCTTTTCTTTTCTCTCTTATCTATCCAAACAAAAAAGAAAGATTTTCTTTTCTCTAAGAGCATGTCCAACATTGAGTAAAAGAAAGATTTTCTTTTCCATGTTGACTCTTTTTTTTTCCATCAAATTTAATTAGAAGTTTCATCTCATATCGCGTGTTCCAGCACAGCAATCTAGGATTTTATCAAACCACCAGTCGACCAGAAGAACGACCAGGGGATGTAAGGCCAGTCGGGTGTAAATTTTTCAAAATTCTGAAACAAATTTTGCCCCGGAGGGGGGGACAACTGGCCGGACATCCAGCCAGTTGTCTGGTGTTCATGCATTGTCCAACAACCACAGTCACCTGTAAAGCTAACGGCTATCTACAATAATTTGGTGAAAGGTTCTAGCATCCTCAATTTGATATACTGCTCTGATGTTTGCTTGGAGCACCAATTTTATACATTTTTTATCAAATTTAAAATTGATAAAACAAAAGATGAAACGTTGGTGACGCTCTAATAACTTACTAAATCATTTCTTTTTCTGAATCCATATTCTGTGTCCAAATTTGAACAAAACACGAACATTAGATGGAACAAATTGTGAACCCAAACACCATAGATGGAGCAAGAGGCAACAATTTTACCAGCAAAATTGCAGAGATTCCAGCTCCAACCGAAGCCCAGCCGATTATCGAAGCAGCAACAACTCGACGAAGACGAAGAACTCGAAGCCGATGATGACGACGAAGCTGAGAAATTAGAAGAAGAACCCAAATGCCCACTCTTGATCTTCAACCCCGGTGAATAATGTAGCAAAGGCACCGATGATGCCATATACATACACAGAAATAAAATACTTTGTTCTTCTTGTTAGGTCAAACCCATACCCTAGCTAGTTCATTGCCATAAACGCAAAGCATATACAATAATATGATATATATATATATATATAGAGAGAGAGAGAGAGAGAGAGATGTATTTGTATAGTTGCTTTGAATCACTACCTGTATTAGTGAGGAATTGAAGTGGTTTGTGTCTCTCTGTGGATTGGTGAGTCTGATAAGATTGAGAGCGTTGGGCCAAAATCTGGAAGAGAATTTTTTGTTCTTTTGTATTCCATCATTGAAATGAAATTGACGGAGAGAGAGAGCCAGTCGCCTGGGAGAGCTGGTAGTGGGGGTTGATTTTGTCACCGGTAGGTGAATCACCATAACAATTGCGCACAAAAAACAAGGACGTGTTTGGGATGCTAACTTTTATGAAAAAATTATACTCCCTTCGTCCCAAAATAATGGTCCCTTTTGGGGAATCTAACTTTTTTTAGTAGTACAATTATTGCATTTGAAAAAAATTGATTTTTCAAAATTATTCTTTTGATAGTACATTTTTTGGGAATATCAATGCATAATTGTACTTTTTATGTTGTTTATTAATTTAAAAGAAGGGTAAAATAGGAAATTTATATTATTTTTGTATTTAATTTTTAAAGAGGGACTAATATTTTGGGACAATGAAAAATGGAATAAGGGACTAATATTTTGGGACGGAGGGAGTAAAATATTAATTGAATTTGAAAAGATGTGTTAGAGAGAATTATGTTAGAGATTTCAATTAAATTATTAAATTTTTTATCAAAACTCTCATATAGGTGTGAGATATACGGGAGCGGGGTCACTACTGTGCAGTGTTCTCTGTTGTGCCATTTCATTGTTTTTTTTTTTTCTTTTTTTTTTTTCATTTTCTCACTATATTTTTTGACATGATAAATTACACTTTTTTTTATTTTAAGGTTTAGGATTTAAAGTTTAATTCTTAAAAAAAAAAGTTTAATTTTTTTATTTTAGAGTTTAGGGTTTAGGGTTTATTTCTTAAAATTTATTTTTTTATTTTAGGGTTTAGGATTTAGGGTTTAATTCTTAAAATTTATTTAATTTATTTTTTTATTTTAAGGTTTAGGGTTTAATTCTTAAAATTTATTTATTTATTTATTTATTTTAGGATTTATGGTTTAAGATTTAGGGTTTAATTCTTAATTTTTTTTTATTTTAAGATTTGAGGTTTAAGGTTTAGGGTTTAATTCTTAAATTTTTATTTTTTATTTTAAGATTTAGGGTTTAATTCTAAAAATAAATTTAAAAAAAAACCCCGGTTTATCCAAATCCAAAAAAATAAAAATAAAAAAACTTATAAGACACTGCCGTTTTATCTGCACAGCAAGAAGAGCAGTGAGGGGATCACAGCAACCCCTCATCCGTTCAGAAAATATATGTTCGGTGCAAGGGTAATTTGTGTTTAGTGTAAGGCCAAGTTTGGCATGATTGAAAAAAGATAAAAAGTCAAAAAGTCACTATCCTATTTAAGTCACATCATCTTATTTAAGTCACATCACTTCTCTAACACATCACTTCAAACCCAACCCATATTTTATAAAAAGTTAAAAAGTGCACTTATTTAGTCTTCCCAAACTAGGCCTAAATGTTAGGCTGTTACGTAAGCTATGTTTGTACGAAACGCAAGTAACACTTGCACTGAGTATTTTTCTAGTTACGAATGAAGATTTTGAGTCATGACGAGATATAATCTATTTTGAGAAGATGGTTAAAAATAATTTTTTGATTTTTAATTAAATTTTTGATTTTTTTAGACAAATGATTTGCGAAATTAGTAAAAAGTGACTTTTGAATTTTTTGATTAATATTTATTTATGATATCAAATCATAATAAAATGACCAAACTACCCTAATTTAGTTTGAAATAATTACAACTTCACCCAATTAACATATTTTGACCCATGAGGGATAAAATTGTAATTTCACCATTAGCTAAAAACTTCTCAAATGAATTTTTTTTTAAAAAAGCCAACTTTTAACTTTTGCTATAAACCAAAAAAAGTTACTAAAAGTCAATTTTTCAAAACAAGCCATAGTTGAGAGATTTGGATGATAGTGTTGCTAAAATTTAAAAATTATGTACAGTTTTTTTTAAAAAAAAAAAAACAAATTTGCACTGTTTTATTTATTTATTTATTGTTTTTATAAAAATTTAACGGTGATACTATATGTATTAATTAATATACCAATTAGTGTACTAAAATATATTATAATAGAATAATGCTTGGGACCCCCTTTTGGGGGTCACCCCCTCACCCCCTTTGTCACGTAGCGGGTGGTGATTGGAGGAGCAGGAAAAAAAAGAAAAAGAAAAAGAAAATGTAACCAATGAGAGAGAGAGGGGGGTCAAAGGGGGTGGGAGGAAAAGAGGAATGAATCATTGTTGATTATAATATTATTATTTTAAAGTTATAATTCCACCTATTATATAAATTATAAATATCTAAAATCTTTAAAATTATATCATATTATCTATTAATATATTAATTGGTATACCAACTTATGCATGTCACTGTTTTATTTATTTATTTATTGTTTTTATAAAAATTTAACGGTGATACTATATGTATTAATTAATATACCAATTAGTGTACTAAAATATATTATGATATTATTATTTTAAAGTTATAATTCCACCTATTATATAAATTATAAATATCTAAAATCTTTAAAATTATGTCATATTATCTATTAATATATTAATTGATATACCAACTTATGCATGTAGTATTATTCAAAACTTAATATATGTATTATATAATAAAAAATTATTTAATTGCAATTATGATTGAGCCGTCCCCATTTATTAAATGCAATTTAGGAGTGTTTGGCATATGCTAAATGACATAGGTTAGAATAGCACATATTATTTTAGTATATTATCATAGATTATAATTATCTTATTTAATTTTTATCACTTCTACCAAAAAATGCTAAAAATTTTAAATAAATTATTAAATTTTTTATCAAACGTTTCATATGAATGTAGGACTGACACAAACCACATGTATGTATATCTCTGAACACGATTCACAACGTGCCTTTTTTATTAAGGCTCTGTTTGGGAAGAAAAAAGTCAGGCTTTTTTGGCTAAAATAGCCACAAAAAACAAAATAGGCTATTTTAGCCACAAAAAACAAAACATCAAATCCAACCCATAATCATTACAATCCTCTCTCACAAAAAAAAGTCAAAAAAGCTAAAAAAACCAAAAAGCCCTTCCCAAACTAGGCTAAAATAGTCAAAAAGCCAAAAAGTCAACCCACTTCCCAAACGGAGGCTAAATTTAGTTACTCTTCGATTTTATTAGAGCTAAAATTTTCAATTTAAAAATATTAAAATGAAAATAAAAATAATTGGAAAAAATTTTAAAGTTAGATCTATTAGCTCTATAACGCTAAAATATATATATTAAAAATAAACTAAATAAATTAAAAGTAGAAACACACTCAAAATCTTAACAACATGATAAAATAAACTAATTAAATTGAAAGTAAATGTTATATATTAAAAAAAATTATTTTTTAATAAATTTTCTTTTTAAATGTTTTATTCTATCTAACTTTTTTTTTTTTTTAGTATTTCATTAGGTCTTATTTAATATAATATATAACCAAATCATCCTTTTAATTTTTTTACACATGTTTCTATTTTAAAACTAATGCACAATAAAAAAATAACAATAGTCTCTCATTTCATCCAGAAAATATCTCCCTCATTCTACCGAAAAATCTCAAATTATGAACTTTTAACTTTTTATAATGTGAATTTTAAAAATAACGCAATAAAAAATTTGAACGAAAATCAAAATACAATATGAATATTCACAATAAACAACAAATATATAACTAACTTTTGAAAAAATAAAATACATGCTAAAGTACAATGTGAATGCTCACAGTAAATAATAAACATACAACTAATCTTCGAAAAAACAAAACTCATACCAAAATACAACGTGAATGTTCACAATTTACAATTAACATACACTTAGTTTTAAAAAAATAAACTCATACCGATGTGAATATTTACACTACAACCTGAAAATATTAAACAAAATTCAAAAAAAATGAAAATCAACTATTTCTTTTGTTTAATGGTAACAAAAATAATTGTTCAACTAACAAACATAGTAACAAAAATAACAAACATACTTTGTGAAAAAATAAAACTCATACCAAAATACAATGTAAATATTCACAATTTATAATTTACATACAACTAACCGTAAAAAAATAAACTTTACCAATGTGAACATTTACACTGCAACGTGAAAATATAAAATAAAATTGAAAATAGTGAAAATGGACTATTTCGATTGTTCAATGGTAACAAAAATGATTATTCAACTAACAAGCATAGTAACAAAAACAACAAATATACAACTAACTTTCGAAAAAAAAAATTAAAAAAAAAAAACTCATACCAAAATATAATATGAATGTTCACAATTTACAATTAACATAGTCTTAAAAAAAAAAAACTAAATTTATACCATCGTGAATATTCACACTGCAACATGAAAACATGAAACAAAATTCAAAGAAAAAAGAAATCGACTATTCCGATTGTTTAATGGCAACCAAAAAAAAATGATTGTTCAAACAACAAGCATAATAACAAACAATATACAATAAATATTAAACAATATATAAAAAATTATCAAATAGTTCATATATATTGAGGCAAATTTTTAGAAAAATCTATATATAATTAATGTTCGGTATAATATCGATGCATAAATAAATTGACAAAGAGACAACGGTTTATTTGTTATAGTGGCAAAAAAAAAAAATAATTATTCATCGCCGATTTATCATCATCTCTATTTCAAGTTCATCATCATCATCTCTATTATTGATCTACAACTAACCTTCTCTTCCAGATATTCTTTCATGGCACGACCTTAATGCAGAATAATAGTGAAGGAAGATCCTTGATTAAGTGACTCCCTCATATTGAGGCAAAGAAAATATTAAGAATAACAATCTTCCATATTCTATATACAATGTTTTATATATATCACAAAAAAAATATATTTAATTATTGATATTATTTCTCCTAAATATATGGTATAATATATATTATAATAAAAGTTTATAAGGGTAAAATAATTCATATGATAATTCTAATATGGGAAAAATGACTTTTTGGAATATAAGATGGAATATTAAAAAACTTTATAGACTTATTAGACTATAAGTCTACTAAATGTGATTTATAAATAAATCTACCTAAAAAACATATT